CCCCCCCCCGAGCCAACGCCATGGCAGGGCTGCCACCTTGTGGACACAGACCGGTACTGCAGGGTGCCCCTCTCAGGACGGCAGAAGGGACCGCATGACGGGACCCTGCCTGGTGGGACTGCGGCAACGCTCAAGAGAGCGGCACGGTGAGACCCCCGGCAGAGAAAGGCGGACATGCTGCTGCCGATCGGCGCCCGCCAGCTCCCTCACGCCCGCGGCGCCGCCGAGCCCACGGCCCGTATCCATACGCTGGGAAAAGCCGCAAAAAAAATAGCACAGGGGAGATCAGTGTTAGTGCGTCACTCTGCAGCGTGAACAGACACAAAAAACCCGCCAGACCTTCTCCCCCCTCCCCTTCCTCCCCCCTATAAAGGATCGTGGAACCAACTCCCCCCCCCTTCCCCCCCGCTTCCCCGCGCATGCGTTCTGCAGCCCCGCCCGCCCCTGCAGGCCCCGCCCCGAGCCTGCACGCTGCCGCCACGCACACCTGTGCAGGCCCCGCCCCCTGAGCCCCGTCCGCGGCCTTCAAGTGCGGCCGGGCCCCTCGCGCCCCGCTCCGTTCGTGGATGCCTCTCTTGGGATGCCCCGGGACCATCGCGCGGCGAGCCCAACGCGGGGGCTGCTCCCGGTGCTGCGCGGAGCCCCAGGTGCTCAGGTACGTCCAGGGCTCAGTTCTGGGTCTTTGTCGGTGTCCGCTGGGGGCTCCGAGCGGTGCCGCCTCTCCCCGGGCCGGCCGGGTGCGGTTCGCGGGACCGGGCCGGCACCGGCGTCGCCGCGGGCAGCGGGAGCCTCTCGCGGGTGCGGTTCGCGGGACCGGGCCGGCACCGGCGTCGCCGCGGGCAGCGGGAGCCTCTCCCGGGTGCGGTTCGCGGGACCGGGCCGGCACCGGCGTCGCCGCGGGCAGCGGGAGCCTCTCCCGGGTGCGGTTCGCGGGACCGGGCCGGCACCGGCGTCGCCGCGGGCAGCGGGAGCCTCTCCCCTGAACGGGTGCTGGGGCCGAGCCCGGCGCTGCCGCTCCTGCTCCGTTTGGGGTCCGGGCGCGATCCCGCTGCGGCCGCAGGGGACCGGGGCTCTGTCGGTAACCGTACCCAGGAGAACAGCGGCCGAATCTCCGCGTGCAGACGCTGGATCGCCGCTGGAACCGCCCGGGGCACCAGGAACGCCGTACCGACCCTAGAGCCCCAAATCTCGCCGCTCTCGGTGCCCTCGTGCCGCGGGTGTGCGAAGCCCCCGCAGCTTTCAGCGGAGAGCAGCGCCTGGCTCAACCGTGGGGCTCCCTGTGGAACGAGCGGGGCTGGAGCACCGTGGGTGGGGCCAGGCACTGAGTTCCACTCAGGCTGCTTCTCCAACAGCCGCAGGTGAGATGCTCCCCCCTCCCCTTGCTTTGTAACTCAAAAAAGCTGTGCAGCGGTAAAAAAAATTTAGCTGAGAGTTTTCCTCTTTACTTCCAGGTTACAGGATACATTGGGGTTGAGAGGATTCCTAAAACCTGACTCTGAAGTAAATAGGACGTTTCCTGCAGATGAGTATTACCAAAATGATGGCAGCTGCTGAAGCTGAGGCTGCTTTTGTGGCCCGGAGTGCACAGAGGTCTCCGTGTCTCCTGCTCACTGCCAGCAACGTTCCTTGGTGTTTCTGTGTGTCTCAGCTGGCTGGGAATGCAGGGCAGGGGGAGGCCAGGAGCTTTAAGAACTTGAAATAACTTGGAAGAAAAAAAAAAAAAAATTCACCTTTTTCTTCTGTGGTTTTTTTTTTTTTCCTTTCAGATGCTGGACGTGCCTCTGTGGATGTGTGCTGAGCTCTTGCTGCAGGGGACTGTCAGGCCTGAATGGCTGTGAGTTTGTGTTCTTCTCACTGGGCAATCAGAAATTATTTTTAATTAGACCACAAAAATGCTTCCTGAAACCTTTCCCCTTTCCTGCCCCTTGCCAGGACTTCTGAATTTATAGCTGTTCCCTGATGTCACTTCCCCTGCCTGACTTCTGTGCAGTTCCTAGCTGGGAAAAACTGGGATAACTTAGGATAACTGGGA